CCAATTAGTAATATATGTGTTTTTAAAAAGACTCCCTGAGAGCCACAGCTGTCCAGCATTACGCTTTTGTGTCTCTCCATAAATCCTCTGCTGAATTAAAATGGTTAGTGATTTTTTTTAAACTCAGGGTTCACAGAGGGCTTCAGACACTCCATTAATAATTCAAAAAACAACAACATTTTTTCCTTCCAATTCTAGTTTCAGAAACAAACTAGAGCAAGGGTATGTGTTAGGGAGATAACATTTGGAACTATTATGCAGTGCAGTGGGTTACGACTGGGGCTGCTAACCTCAAGATCAGCAGTTTGAAACCCGCAGCCACTGCAGAGAAAGTAGAGTCGGCGAAAGATGAGGCTTTGTACTCCCATAGAGAGTTCGTCTCGAAGGGCAGTACTGCCCTTTCCTAAGGGGTGGCTAGGAGTTGGCATCCACTCAATGGTTGGGAGTTTGGCTTTTTTTGCACTCCTAAGTACTTTTTATGCACTACCGCATTGATTCCTCGTAACAGCCTTATGAGGTAGATCCTCTGTCCCCATGTTACAGATGAGGGGACCCAGCAAGGCACAAGGAGGGGAAGGAGCTTGCTTGCCGAAAGTCACATCGCTACAAAGCCGCGGTGTTGGGATTAGAACCCAGACAGTCAGACTTTAAAGCTGCCGTTCTTTTAAAAATAGTAATAATTGTTATTGTGGTGGAAAAGAAACCTATTTTAAAAACTGGCCATCTTAACTTTTAAGTATATATCTCAGTGGTAATACTTATATCACCATGTGGTAAAACCATCACCACTATTTCCAAAAGTTTTCACTTCAAATAGAAATTGCTATTTAAGTAGTAGAAAGTGAGCTATTTCAATAACCATGCCCCTTCCTCCCTTTCTACAGCCCCTGGTAGCCCCTAAGAAACTCTGTCTCTATGCATTTGTCTATCCGAGCTATTTCTGGTGGGTGGAATCATTTATTTCACTTAGCAGCTTTGCAAGGTTCATTCAGGTCCCTGCGTGTGTCCGAAGTTACTTTCTCTTTGTGGCTGAATACTCCTCCATTGTTTGTAACTACCTTCGTTTTGTTTATCGTTCATCTGCTGAGGGACGCTTGGGTGGCCCCAACTTTGGCTCCTGCCAGCAGTGCCATCAGGAATGCAAGTGTACAAGTGACTGCTTGCGCCCGACCTTGCGTTCTAGACCACTATGGTAGGGCCTACCTCCCATCTTCCGAGGCATCGAGACTAGTTGTTGTGAATAACTGAGAAAGTGGAGAAGGATATCGAATCCCATGCGGCATCACTCTCAGACACATGATCAAAAGAACAGAGAACAGATGTCCCCACAAAGCCCGCACACCATGGTCTCGGCAGCATTATGCAGAACAGCCAAACTGCGAGCAACTCAGAGCCCAGCAGTGTATTCAAGATGGTGTCAAGAAGTTCATGGGGAAAGTTTTCGGAAGTCTGGTTGCGGGGCAGCGGAATTAAAAAAAAAAAAAAAAACGTTCATGGGAAAATGGAATTAATAGAGAATGCAACTTTCCCACAAACATTGTGAAACCCCCTTGGGCATACTAGGGATTACTATTTAAGGTAAAAAGGAGTGATTTACCGACTCACACTACACCAAGGATGAGTCTTAAAACCAGTATGCTCAACAAAAGAAGCCGGTCAGGTTGCTACAGGCCACATAATCCCACTTATATGACATGTCAGATTAGGCAAATCCATCAAAGTACAAAGTAGTTTAGTGGCTGCCTCTGGCTGGCGGGAGGAGTGAATGGGGACTGACTTATTTCTGAGGTCATGAAAGGCTCCCATCTAAGATTCACGGCGATGGCTGTGCAAGTCTGTGACAAGTGAAAAACATCCGATTATGAACTTGAGAAGGGTGAAGTCCATGGAATGTGACTTGTAGCTCAATAAAACTGGGGGTTGGTTGGTGGTGCTTAATTCATTGAGCACTTTGGTGATTTTCCTCCCATGAATCCTTAACTGTGACCATTAAGGACTTTGGGTCAGGGTCAAGGAGACAGAAAGCAACTTGCCGATGCTGACTTTCCCCCTTTCAGTTTGCAAAGAGTACACAGGTTTCACTTCGGGGACCCACTACACCAGCGGTTCTCAACCTTCCTCAGGCTGCGACCCTTTACTACACTTCCTCATGTGTGGTGACGCCAACCATAACATTATTTTCTTTTCATTGCTACTTTATAACTGTCATTTTGCTACTGTTATGAATTGTCATATAAATATCCTGCATGCAGGGTGTATTTTAATTGTTACAAATTGAACATAATTAAAGCATAGTGATGAATCACAAAAGCAATATGTCATTATATATTGTGAAATATTTATTTCTAATGACAATAAATGCAATGGTGTAGCATGGTGTAGCATGGGTAACAGTCTTCACGCCGGGCACTCGTCTGTGGGCGCATCTGCATGTGGGGGGACCTGCCTGGAGACAGATAGGAGTGGTGTCTCGGCTCCTAAGACCATCGGAAATATGTGTTTTCCAATGGTCATAGGTGACCCCTGTGAAGGGTCGTTCAACCCCCAAAGGGGTCGTGACCCACAGGTTGAGAACTGCTGCACTACACAATCATTTGTGTAGTTTCCCACCTCGGAGCAAAGCTTTCTTCACCCAGGCCACAAAGCACAAGTGCAAAAGTTCTATTGTTGAGAAAACTTCCTAACCTTTCCCATAAACCAAAGCATCTTTCTTTCTAAAGGAACCTTATTTTTCTCTCATAACCAGCCCCCCATCACCACTTCCCGGCCTCTTCCCTGCTAAAAGTCAGGGTGCTGAACAATGTTTCCCGTCAACAAGGAAGTAGCAAAAACTTATGAACTGTGGCAACATTTAATGCCTTCGTGAATGAAAACTGGAGACAAGGGCAAGAGCCTGAGAGATACAGCCTTTTAAATGTCTACCTGCTCCACTAGGAATAATATGAATATTCCTGGAGCAGCTAGAAGGTTCTGGCTAAAACACTCATCTTATTTACAGAGCATTTCATTTAGTCTTACAGCAACTTCGAGGAAGGTATTTGCAGTCTCATCTTACAGCTTCGCAAGCTGAGTCCTAGCGAGATTAAGTATTTGTCCTTGATCACTAAGAAAGCCCAAACAAGACCCACTCCCATCAAGTCAATTCCAATAGGGTCACAGTTACCCCACAGGGTTTCCCAGACTAAATCTTTAAGGGATCCGACAGCCTCACAATTTTCTCAGCAGGGGGGAGGGGGGTTCAGAACAGCTCTCTCTCTCTCTCTCTCTCTCTCTCTCTCTCTTAGGGCTCTTTAGCCCCAACAACAGCCCAGGTCTTTCTGCAGCCAAATACTCGTTCCTCTAGGCCTCTCTCTTCCTCTTCAGACATGAAAAGGGAAGCCAGAAGCTTGAAGAAACCAAATAAAGACCCCTCTTCTACCTCAAAAGTGGTGCTTTCGGAAAGGTGACTGTTCCTAGAGTCCAACAGGTACAATAAAAGAGAATCGATAGCAACAAGCGCGGAGGAACCATGCCATAGCCCCCATCTCCTGGATTTCTTCCTGATTTAACTGTTTCCTCGTCCATTCTGATGGTTATCTTTGGATTTTAAAAGGTAATGAAATGGGGTGGGGGGAGCTGATCCCAAGAGCTCAATGGAAAGTAAATGTCTAGAAAAGAACGATGGAATTTATGTACGAATATGTCAGATACAACTGATATATGGTTTGTAACAAGAGTTGTAAGAGCCCCCAGTAAACTGATTTTTTAAAAAAGGTAATGAAATGATCTCACTATGGAAAACCCCAGGGAATGTCAGAGGCAGAGGGGAGAGCTAGAGAGCTCACTAGGGCAGGAAGGAAATGGAATCAGTCGGTTAGTAGGAAATGGTGCTAATCTAAAAACATCACACATCTTTAGCATTAGCACTCTAATTCCATAGTATTTTCATCGGAAACTATCTTTGGATTCTTTCGGATTGTTTTAATGCTCTATATCTAAAAGCTGGTTCCCACACTATTCGTCTCTGAAAGTCTAAGAGAATCTTAAAATACTTCTTCTATGCGACCACCACTCAAGCCTCATTGAACTCCTGCTCAAAGTCTTAAATTCCAAGGATTATCTCAAAGGGAAGCGACTGAATCCGCTAGGATAGGGAGCACGTAGGTCCAACCAAACGTGAATTTCCCCACCAAGCCGACAGTGGCTGGCGGAACTCCTAGAGGCAGCACGACACACATCCCTCCTTACACCCCTCAGAACTCTGCCTCAAACAGATGAGGCTGGAAGCTAAAAACAAAGCGAGGGATGGACAATTGCTAAGAAATCTTTCAACCCCAAAGGAAAAAGTCGCTTCCATCTGCTCTCCAATTGGACCACCGAAATGGGCTGAACTTGGCCCATTTGTACAAGATTAACCTTACAACGCAGGGGTGGAAGAGGGCACGAGGGTTGGCGGAATCCTTGAGAAATGCAGAAGAATGAGCCCCGAGTCTGGGGTCACCTTGTAATAATTCCTAATGGGGAAAGGGCCACCCGAAAAGAAAGTAAGGTTTGGTTGGAGAAATTTCCCGTTGCCCGCGCAGGAGGGTCACAACAGAACCTTTGGGGGGCACAGGAGAAAAATCCGCACTGTTGAAGTGGGGGTGCAAGGAGGGGGCTTTCCTCGTGCAAGCAACCACCTGTGCTTGGTGGAGACCCCCCAAGAGGGAGTTCTGACGAAAGTGAAAAGCGACCCTCAGAACCCGGGACCGGCTCTGGCTACTCACACCACTCCACTGCCCCACGCCCGGCCTCTGGCCGGCAGCCCTTCCGGAGACCTCCGCCCCCAGATCCGGGGCTGCCCCCCAAATCTCGCTGCCTTGCGCCTCTGCCTTCCAGCTGCCCTGCCGCCACCGGGCGGTCTCCGATCCCCCAGCCGGATTCCCAAACCAGACCCCGGAATCCGTGCTCGCGGGACTGAGACCGTAGGATCTGGCGGGGTTTGGTCCAGCCCTCTCGCCCTCTCCGCGTCCTGGGCTCACCTCCCCGGCAGCTTGGCGCTCCTCTTCCAGAACTGCTTGCTGTTCTCGGAGGCCATTGCTCTGGCCCGGGGAAGGCGTTGTCGGCGGGCCAGACGGGGGGACCCGGTGAGACGCCCCCGGACCCCGCAACCGGAGGGCCAGCCCAGGCCGCTTCCCCGCCGCTGGTCACCCGCTCGCAGCTCCCGGAGGCGCCATCTTGGAAGTGGGCAACCCCCCACCCAGCCCCGCTCCCATTGGTGGGCTGTGCAGGTCGAGCAAGGACGGACCAATCAGAAGCCGGGATCCTGCCGGCCGCCGAAGCCGTGCTGTGACGTCAGGGGCCGGGCACCCAGGTGGATCGGGAAGGCGGAGCTTGGACAAGCAGGGAGGCGGGGCCGAAAGTTCCTACACCACCCCACCCCCTACACCCACCGCCACCCGCCAAGGGAAGAAGCAGGTGAAGATAGGGACTTAAGGGAAGGAAGAATGGGTGCTGTTTCCTTTGGGAATCTACTATGTTTTGGAAAGAGAAAGCTTGGTGATGTATTTGTATACTGAAATCTCTAATCGTCCTGTGTGTGGATGGAGGCCCGTTGTTAACATCCTTCAGCCCAACCACAGTCTGCTTGCTTCTTACCTACCCACTTCCTCTTTGGGTTGGGGCCCCAATTTTTTTATCTGTGAAAGAGGGTCGATCCGGATTCGATAGCCTAGAGTTGCTAACCGTTCAACGTGTGAGGAGCAATTGGTTCGTCAGAGGCCCCGTGACCTCTGATCATTGAACAGTCTCAAAGGCCTTGCCATTGAGGGTGAAGTTCAAATAATCTACTCCCTGTTTCCATCAGTCACGTACACCTTCTGACCCTGAGAAGGCAGATGCTGACAGACCATGCATGGGACGGAGTAGAACTGCCCCACGGCGTTTCCAAGGCGACCTCTTCCTGGAAGCCGATTGCCTCATCACTCTGAGGAGCGGCTGGTGGGTCCCAGCCACCAACTTTCCGGTTCAAGCGCTTAATCATTGTGCCACCAGGGCTTCTCGGTTCAGATGACCAAGTATTATTTTTTGGCTCGAATATAACAGATCTTTATGGCATAAAGCACTGAGTATGTATCTCCCTCCCCACCAGTGCCTGTATTAATTGAATAAATCATTTGACTTCCAATCTACTTTTGACTCAGAAGGAGACAAGAGTAGCATTTTAAATCCTTTAAGTGTCTTGTTGACCCCGTGCGCTCTTGTCTTGTTTCTGCCATTGTGTACCTTGGGGATTTACACAGGTGGGAATGTGAGCTAGTCTACAGTCGTTTTTGCCCCAACAAGGATGCGATTTCCCTCTAAAGAACCAGAGACTATTGTGGTGAGCGGGATGTCCCTCTCCCACCATTTTTTACTGCTACAGCACCCCCTACCACATACTAGATTGCCTAAGGGACCCCCTGTCTGAACACATATCTTCTATACCCTATGCCTCTTTCTACATCACCCCTATTTTCAAGGGAGGGCATGAAAAGGCAAGGAGAAGGGGAAGTGTGGGACTGCTAACCTCAGGGTCTGCAGTCAAAGCCTACTTTGCTGCTCGGTCAGTGATGAGACCCTCTGCTCATGTAAAGACTTAGAGCCTCTGAAACCCTGTATAGGGCCGATCAAGTCAGAATGAACTGGACCACAGTGCGTTTGGTTTGGGGCTATGAAAAGGCTCTTCTGATCCTCTCCAAATCTTCCATGTGTTTAGAGGCGTTCTTCTTCTCTTCTCTCAGATAGTAACCTTTATGGGCTTTTAATCCACCAAACAAAAGGCACTCGATCCTTTTGCATCACTTCAGCATTCAGCTCTCCCTAGGTCTCCTGTGTTTCTGAGAATACAGTGGCCAGCAGGACACACCAAGTCCTACCATGTGTGTTTTGTTGACGCTGGTGTTTCCTCTTTAGGCTGGCCATCCAGAGCTTTTGCTGGCCTTTTGGACTTTCGAAGAGCTATTATCTTAAAGGAGTGATCTACGGCAACTTCAGCTTCCTTTCTTGGGTAGTAACTGGCAGGTCAGAGTTCATTCTCTTAAAGGTTGATCATCAGAATTGCCCTTCCTATGAGCTGCCTTAGGAGCCCTGGTGGCACAGTGGTTACGTATGTGTTGGGCTGTGAGCCATAAGGTCACCAGTTCAAAACCACCAGCTAGGTGCTCCTTGGGAGAAATATGGCTTCCTACTCTCATAAAGAGTTTCAGTTTTGAAAGAAAAAAAAAAAGAGTTACAGTTTTGGAAATTCTACCCTGCCCTATCGGGTCACTAGGAGTCGGTATTGATTATGCAAGATGCCTTACACTTGCCCATGCCACTTCACGGCCTACTCACCTGATTCTCAAATGTCCCAGGAGATGCTCCCTAAAGACTTGACATTTCACTGTGTGGAAAGCCAAGTGTCCTTTGTGTACCTAGACAGGTCTCAATGTATTCCTTTGGCTGAATCACTTAGGAAATGTTAAATAACACAGATTCCGAGGGGATGCTGTCAACCCTATGCAACCCAGGGAAGTGCTATTGTTTCTAGTCTTTGTCTTCTACCCAAGCCAGTATGTAAGACAACAACAAATCCACCCCAGTCTCCTGGTCACATCAAATGTTATCTTACCACCACCACCAACCTCCACAGCCCCTCTAATCGGAACCAACCACATCTTTGCTTGGCCTCTCCTTCATTTCCTATTAGGCCCTTCTGCTTCCACTCCTGCCTCACTAGTCTCCCCTCTTCATAGCACCTAGAGAGATCTTCTTAAAATCCAAGCTGGATTTTAAGCTCACTCCTCAGCTCAAAACCTCCTAATGACTCCCATCGTCCTTGGCATTAAATCCCTTGTTCCCGAAGGCCCCATGTGTTGTGGTTCCCCCCACCTCTCCAGTCTCCTCCTATAACACTCTGCTCCTGCTTAATCTGCCCTAACCACACGATGTTGTGCTGTGCCTGGAACAGTCCACACTCGCACTTACTGCAAAGCAGTGGTTCTCAACCTTCCTCATGCCGCGACCCTTTCATACAGTCCCTCATGTGGTGGTGACCCCCCAAACATAACATTATTTTCGTTGTTACTTCATCACTGTAATTTTGCTACTGTTATGAATTGGGTTACCCCTGTGAAAGGGTCGTTCGACCCCCCAAAGTGGTGTGACCCACAGGTTGAGAACTGCTGCTTTAAAGCCTTGCACTTTCTCTGACCACCTATCTTAAACAGCAGGCTCCATTCATATATATAAAAAATCACTTATTACTGCCTGCCATAGTATGTGCTTGTTTGTCATCTATCTCCACCCATCCAATTGAAAGCCCCGCCCTCCCCAGATGAACTTTGCCTCTTTTTTTCTCTACTGTGTCTTGTCTGAGTAGATCAGTGTTTGGCACCTCCAAACCAAATCCATTGCCATTGAGTGAGTTCTGGTTCATGACAACCCTCTGTACTACAGAGCAGATGGCTCCATGGGGTTTTCTTGGCTGTCATTTGTGTGGAAGTCAGTCTCAGGGTTAGTAGTCCAGCGCAAACCGCTTGTGACACTCAGCAACCTTGGTGGCCTCATGTGGCTTTTGTTGGGTGCTGTTGAGTCGATTTTGACTCAGCAACCCGTGTGTGATGGAGTAGAACTACGCCATCAAGTCGTCTTGGCTGCAGACTTTGTATACATCCATAGATCACCAAGTCTTTCTCCCACAGAGCTGGTGTGTTAGTCTGGGTACTTTAGAGAAACAACTCCACAGAAACTCATAGGTATAAGAGAATTCAAGAAAACATCCCAACCCAGTGCCGCCCAAGCCCACAACTCCAACATTAACTCTTATGTCTGACACCAATCCACAAAGTCCTCCTCCATCTCACAAAACACACACTATGATGCCAACTGCAGGAGGAAAGTCGAGTCAGTGAGTGTATAAGCATCTCAGCGTTGGCAGGGGTTTCATTGGGGTAGGTCCATGTGGCTTCTCCTCAGGGATGTCTTGCAGGAAGTGAGCCCTGCACACTGAAGCAGGGAACTGGCTAAGGCAGCTGCACCCTGGTCCAACCATCAAAAAGCAATAGACCCAAGAACTAGAAAGGGGAGGCTTACCGAAGGCTTACCAAGCCATTTATCTCGCTGCCCTTCAATTAACCCCACATGTGTTTATCGACCAGGTTGCCACAATAAACTTTAACTATCTCAGCTGGTAGGTGATTTTGAGCCAGCAACCTGGTAGTGAGTGGTAGAGGGTTTAATCTAGAGTTGGCACATCACCACCCTTACTACCATTGAGTCTGTTCACTCATAGTGACCGTTTAGGACAGATTAGAACTGCCCCAGTGGGTTTCTGAGGCTGTAAATCTTTATGGGAGGAGAAAGCCCAGTCATTCTCCCACAGACTGTGGAGTTCAAACTGCTGACCTTGCGGTTAGCAGCCCAATAGGGAACCCACTATACTCCCAGGGCCCCTTCTCTTTGACACATAGATGCTTAATAGGTCTCTCTGGAGTGAAAGAATGAAGACTGTAACTAACTCCTGTCTTCTTTCCTGTGTTGTTCTTGCACATTTCCGATTGGGAATGCCTCTGGGAACCATGCTGCCTAACTCCTTATAAGATGTGTCCATTACCTAACGATGCTATACGCTTTTCTATACCGTTTTTCGAAGAAAAGTCTTGCTCACGTAGGGAAGATTGTCCTGGCCAAACCCTTTCACAGCTTCTAAGGAATATTCCTGTGCCTGGAGTGATGGAGGAGGAGACCACCCATCAAGGCAGGAAACAAATCCAGTCCACCTTGTGCATCAAAAAGGCAATAACTGTGGCAGCCAGGTGGTCCTCACATCAAACGTTACCTACCTAGAGGTGAGAATCTCTGGTTTGAGTTTCCCCTGAGGCCTTGAACCCCTTTTGAAGGCAGCCCATGGTGACAGGCACAGACTGGTCCACTAGAGCAGTGCTTCCCATAAGTTAGCATACACGTGAATCACCTGGGGATCTTGTTAAAAGCCTAGAATCTGATTCAGTACGTTGGGGTGGAGCCTACAGTCCTGCATTTCTAACAAGCTCCCAGGTGACCCAGATGCTATAGATCTGTTAATGGCACCGTATGGTTGTGTGGTCCTTGATATTATCTCAAGGGTTTGGTTATTTTGAAGCTGT